CCCCAAAACCCCAAAACCCCAAAACCCCACTAGCTCAATTCTTTGTATTAAATGAAGTAATAAATTTATCCATTATACTTATTTTATTCTTGATTGATCCTTATATTAATATTATATAGATTCAGGTTGAGTAAATATGCATTGACATGATCATTAGCTAAAATGAGATCTTTTAACCTTGACATTTAAGGACTAGCTATGATCTCTTTCTTTATAAGTTTCAAATTTGTTATCATCAACAGTAGTCAGTTGGTTTTGCTACTATTATTAATGTAAATTTTGCCTATGGCTAGTACTTGTAAGATCGACCCTCATTTCTTCTTCTCTGGACTATTTTTCAATTTAATTAATACCAATGTAATGATTTCTTGAAGAATTTTGCTAGCCATTAGCTGAGCAGCCTCCACAAGATAAAAAGGAGAAGAATGACTGCTGATTATCTCGATCATTTCTTTGGTTTTCAAACTAAATACTGTTTCTATCATAATTGCTGCCTATTGCCTTATTACTGAACTGAAGCACACCTCCTCTAGGAGAGGACATGCTACTGCCTTTCTCCAAGCCACAGATAAAGCTAGATTTAGGCGTAAACTGATGAATCACCGATTGCTTAGCTGATACATACTAAGATTGATGAGCAGTGCTATTCATTGAAGGCACCTTTAACATCTGTATTAATTGATCATGCGATATTTATAGCCTTTCCAACTCTATTTAGGTCAAGTAATACTTCTCATAGAACTCATGCGACTTAAGGTCTTTCAGAAGTTTCTCATTTTTCTGACTCAATATCTCTACCTCCTCTGATAGCGAGACTAAAGTTTGTTCCAGTTAAGACTTCTAAACAATTAACTGCTCAATCTCCCCACCTTTTCTGATTTCTTCATCTCTAAGTTAAGTCTAAAACTTAAACTCAGCAAACTACTGCTGCAAATCTTGATTCAGTTTATGCTGCTGCATATATGCTTTTTAGAATGAATACTTCTCTTGTCTTAACTCCTCTATTCTTTACAAACCCTATGACAAAGATTATAAATCGCACATTAAAGTAATTATTTTACCTCCTCAACGCTTTTAATAGCTTTAGGGTCTCCGCCCTCATAGAAGTTGTTTAGAAACATTACTAGCCATTTTTCCAAATCTTTAATTTTCTCCTTGTACATATCGCTCTCAGATCTGACGCTTATCAACTCCTGTTCAAGGTCTTTGATTAAATTGTCCCTTTCGTTAATGGTCTCATCGAAAAACTTATTATCATTGGTGTCGTTAGCGTTTTCTGCATGATTTAAGTGATGCTGGTTAATAGACCTCTTGTCAATAATGCGGGAACTTTTGCGATTATGTTGATGACTCGCATTTGCCGTTGATTTGATACTATTGTACTATTTTTTGTCAACTCCCTTAACAGACATCGCACTCTCTCTGCTCTAAGAATTGCCTAAGTCCTTGATACTATTTATAGATGACAGCATAAGTCTGCAATTTGCAGGAGTAATAGAATCTATAACATCATTATTGATTACTGTAACTATATGCCAAAATGAGTTTTACCTTGGTAAGTTCTTAATGTATTTTTGCTTGATTTAAGCATTTTATGCACTGCTTTAATTTATTCAAATAAAATTATTAAGTTTTAATCCCAAATTATAATTAGATTTCACTTAGTGGGGTTTTGGGGTTTTGGGGTTTTGGGG